CTTTGTGTGATTGGGGTCCTCCCGTCTGTCTGCTTTGCCGTGTGACATCTTGCCCTCAGTGTCACACCTGTGAGATTCAGTGGTATGCGATGCAGTTCGTCCATTTGCCCTGCTGCGGAGTGTTTTGTCGATCTGTTCCCCGTTGATGGGCCCTTGAGTTATTTCCAGTGCCAGGCACAGTGCTAAGTATGGCTCTGAAAGTTTGCAGTTGGTGCTAAAATTACCCCCACTTCACAGAGGAGCCACTACGAAAGGCCTGCTGGCCACGTCGGGGCCTGTGGGCGTTGGTGGGCAGGGTACCCGGAGTGGATGTGCTGGGCCGCAGGAAGGGGCATCTCTCAGCTTCCCTGACTTGTGCTCATATCGATTTACACTCCCACCAGCAGTGTGTGACCTGGCTTCTTAATCAGGAATTTTAAACCCAGGTAGTGTTTTGAGTCAAGTAATCCTCAACTGCAAAATTCCTGGCCTTTTTTTTTTTTTTTTCAGTTGCTGAGGACGTCCCAGCTCCCTTTAGCCGGCTTTCTTGAAATATTCTGGGTGCAGAGCCCACTAGAGTTGGACAGCTCCTTTGACAGGGTGGGGTCACGGTTTAGGTGGGGATTTGGAATGATTTTGGGGTCATGAGTAAGGTCTGAGGCCAAGTTGAAAGTTGAGCCCAAATGAAGGACTTGGACTGTCTGGATGGGAGTTGGGATCCGTGGTGGGTAAGGGGACAGAGAACAGATTGGGCAGAAGCCCAGATTTGTGGGAGGGTCTAGAACCAGGAAGGGCTGGGCTCAGGTCAGCGTCTGGGTGAACTCGGGTCGGGGTGACTATTGGAGGTGAGGCGGGTGGAATTCATGACTGAGGTTCATTAGCCTGTAGCAGTCTTGATTAGAAGTGGGAACCCGGGAGTCACAGAGACCAGGATCCAATCGGGGCACCTCTGCTGCCTCACTGTGCGCTTGGGGAGGCGACACCCCTGCAGAGCCTCAGTTTCTTCCTCTGTGAAGTGAGGGTAATTTTAGCACCACCTGCAAATGTTCAGAGCCATACTTAGCACTGTGCCTGGCACTGGCAAGCACGAACCTTTCTACTGTCCACGACAGAGCGCTGAGAGGACAGGGCACTGGTGTCCATTGCTTTGTGTCCTCTAGTGCCAGCTTGCAGCTTGCCACATCTCCTCGGCCACATCTTTTCATTTCTGGGGTCTACGGAACTATAGAAAGAGATGGCATTTCAGGGACCAGGTATCTTAGTGGGACTCGTGCCTGCAGTTAGAATTCAAGGCTGGTCTACGGCCATGCCACCGTGAACAAGTCTGATCCTCTCTGATCTCAGAAGCTAAGCAGGGTCAGGCCTGGTTAGTACTTGGATGGGAGACCACCTAGGAAGACCAGAGGCTATAGGCATAAAAAATAAAAAATAAATAAGGGATTGTAAGCTGACAAGGTCCTTGCAATCTGTGAGGTCAACCAAGGGTTGCTTCGCTTAAAAAAAAAAAAAAAAATTCAAGGCTGAAGTCTCAGGTAAGGTCTAGGATTAGGTTTGAGGACAAGGTCAGGGGCAGAGCCAGATGGCATTGGAGCTGAGTTGCTGAGATCAGAGCGAGGCCAGTGGGAGTGAGTGAGGTATGGACAGGAAAGTGGTGGGCCGGGGGAGGGGGCCGGCGGGCGGCTGAATCACACCTAGAGATATGAAAACTCACTCCTTTGGGGATGCTACGCTCCCATCATACCCCTCAGGCCCCACTCAGAGTGGAAAACATGCCTCAGCCGAAACCCGGCGAGGCAAGTCGGGAGCCTGGGCGGCACGCCTGGGGCCCAAGGCTGACTCGCTCCTTTGGAACGTCACCAACGTCCTCCCGGGCCACCAGGCAGCCAAGGCCTTCTCAGGACCATGTCTGCCTGGTGCCCTGCCCCAGGGCCTCCTGGGGAATGACCCTCCCTGTGCACCTCTGCTGTCTTACTGTGCTCTTGGAGGGTGAACGGGTTCAGAGGGAATGCCTAAGAGCCCTCTCTTGTCCCCTCAGAGAAGGGCAGAGTTACAGAACCAGGGACATGTCTCCCGGAAAGAGACACTTGCAAGGTGGCAGGGGGTGAGGGGCATTTGGGGAGAGGTTGGGTGGCGCTGGAGGAGGGGCCGAGAGCCCTCCTGGCCTCCCCTCCCTTACTCCACTTCCATCCCTTCTCTGTCCCCAGAAATAAGAATGTCTAAGCCCCTGGAGGCCGAGAAGCAAGGTCTGGACTCCCCGTCAGAGCACACAGGTGTGTGGGAAGAGAGCAGGGAGGCAGAGGGTGGGCAGGGGGCAGGTGTGGTGGGGAGCTGCGGGGGTGGCTGGTGACAACTCGCCTTTTCCCTCTCATTGCAGACACCGAAAGAAATGGACCAGACACTAACCACCAGGTCAGGAGGGAGTGGACGAGCGGGAGAAGTGGGAGGGAGAGAATGGAGCAGAAGAGAGCTCTGTGGGGGAGGGACGGGGTGTTAGAGGCTGCTTCATCTCACTGTTCCCATCCTCGCCCCAACTTTCTCTTTGCAGAACCCCCAGAATAAGACCTCCCCGTTCTCCGTGTCCCCAACTGGCCCCAGCACCAAGGTAAGTACCTGTCAGAACAGCCAGGGCAGGGGAGGGGGGAAATCCTGTGATGGGAGGCAGCTGCGTTTGGGACAGGGTTCTGCAGCCCTGCCTTGGGCCCAGGGCCTGAGGGGGCACTGAGCCCTGGTACCTTGGTGACAAGGCTCCTCCCGCCCCTTCTCACCCTAGGCTCCCGCCCCAGGCCTGTGACTCACCCAGGCTCCTTCCCCTTCCCTGGGGGGTGGGGGTGGCCAGGGAAATCCCCCCCAGAGCCCCAGGGCATGAACAACAGGAAGCCAAGGGCCCCACCCCCATCCCAACTTCCCTGACCCACCCCACCCCCAGGGAAGGGGCCTGCCTTACCCCACCCCTGCCCCCCAACACACAGGCTCAGGGGTGGAGGATTAGGGGGTGCTGGAGTCATGGGGAGGCAGACCTGGTGAGGATGGCTGCAGGGCTGGGAGATGATGTAGGAGAGGACAGTGGGGAGGCCGGAAGTGGCCAGACAGCCTATCCCAAATCCAGACGGGGCCCTGCTGCTGGCCACCTCTGGGCTTCCTGGGGTATCTGGGGCGCAGAACTCCAACCCTCAGCTTGGTAGGGGCAGGTCCAGAGGCCTGAAGGCAGCACAGGGGGCAGGGGCAGAGGGAGCACTGGCAGGACTCCTGACCCTGACTGGAGGTGGCAGAGGGCTGGGAGCTGTTCTGTGACCATGGGAAAATCGCTTTTCCCCTCTGGGCTTCTCGGTTTCCTCTTCTCTAACGTGGGGGAGGGGGGTAGTCAGATGAGATGGTCTCTGAAGTCCCTTCCACAGCTGGTACGCCCTGATGCCGCTTGGAGGGCAGATGTCTTGTCTTAAGTGTGTGGACAGGGACCAGGGGAGAAGGTCTCCGGCTCTGACCTCCTCCCTCTGATCTGAGGTTCGGCTCTGGCCTCAGCCCTCAGAGCATCCATCTCCCCCACCCCCTCCCTCCTCGACTGAATCTTTGCAGCCATTCCCGGCACCCCCCACAGCAGCCCTGCTTCTCCGGGGGTGGGGTGGGGAACCAGGGGGTCCAGGGAACAAAGGGTTCTTCTCCCCTTCCCTGGCCTGGGCCCTGGTTCCCAGGGAAAGCCCGGGGCAGAGAGGGCGGCTGCCTCTGACTCCCAGTCTCCATCCGTGCCTGTCCTGTCTTCGCTCTCAGACCTCGCCTTTCCATTCCCTCTGTCACTTCTCTGTCAGTCGTTCCCTAACTGCGAGGATTCACGTGCTCCCATCACGCTTTCAGACAAGTCAACACACCACCGTGTACAATTATTTACATCTTAACTTTGTTAACTGGATCAATTTTTAAAAAACATTTTATTATGGGAAATGTGAAGCAGATTCAAAAGTAGAAAAAAAGAGTATAATAAAAATAACCCCCCAGGTACCCATCAATCAGCTTTGACAATTACCAACTCATGAACTGGCTCGCTCTTTCAACAGCTGAAATAAATGTTTTTTTAAATGGAAATTTCACGAATGGAAAACCAGAATCACTTGCCATGGAAATAAATACAATGATTATTAAAATGTACCCAGAGACTGTTGCCTGCTGAAGGGTCTAAGCTGGAGGCCTGTTCTCCCTCCGTCAAAGGGGGAGATTAGCCAGTGTCGGGAGGTGTTAGAGACATGCCAGCTCCTAGCCGAGACTTGCTTCAGAAACCCAGGAAGAATGAGAGCTCTGAAGGAGGAATGGTGTTCTCACCATGGCTCTCAGTGTTGTTTTTAACTTTTAATTAAAATACGATCCACACATAGATCCTCAGTGGATTTTCCCAAACCAAATAGCCATGTCATCGGCACCAGATCAAGAAGCAGAACACGACTAGATTCCCAGAAAGCCCTTGGTTCCCCGCCAGGGACGGCCACTGCCCCGGCTTCTAATAGTCGCTGTTGTTTCATGCTGTACCCCACACCCCTTAAACTGTCTGACATTTGTACCCCATACTCAGGGGCATACCGCGTGCTCTCTATCATGTGGCCCTTCCCTGGCCTCTGTCTGTCTGTCTGTCTCAGTCTGTACTACAAATGCCACACCCCTGCCCAGCTGCCGTGTCACCTTGTACAAGTCGCTGTCCCTCTCTGGATCTCCTTTTGCAAAATGGCGCTGGGACATTGGGCCAAAGGATGATCCCAGACGTCCCCTCCCGGCCTTAGAGTGTGCGATTCATCAAGCAGTGCTCCTGCCGCTCACATGCGTCCTTTACCAACAGACCCCACAGGCGAGCCAAGCCCACCGTTGTCTGGCTTCTTCTCCAGGAAGGGAGGAGGGCACGGCTGCTCTGTGCGGGTCTGCCCTGTGTATCTACTATGAGATGCAGCCGCATCTCACAGAGACAGGGAGGGGCTCAGGGGCCTTAGGGGGTGCAGGCTGACAGCTAGCAGCACTCGGGCCACCTCAGGCTTGCAGATGTATTTTGCTTGTCCCGCCAGCAGTTTTGCTTCAGATTTTGAAATGGCGGCAGGAGCTGCGCAAGCCTGTCCCTCGGGGAAGTGGGTGGACACACTCCCTCCAGCCCACCCGTCCACCTCTGCCGTGTCACCCGTTTGTGCTGCCTGCCTGTTTCCGTCTGCATTTGAACTCATGACCCATGTTCTAAAGCAGTGGGTTTAAAAAAAAAAAAAAAAAGGAAAACCGTTCTAAGATCCTTTCTTGCAATAAAGTCTTACTCTATTGGATGAACAAAAGACGCCTGTCTGGCTGAAGCGGGTGAGGGCTGTTGCACCCAGCCCCCTGTTTGAGGCCCCAGGGCCTCATGCAGCATTTCCCATTTTACAGATGGGGAAACTGACTCCCGAGAGGGGGGAAGTGTTCTCCAAAGGCGGCCTTCTCCTGTCAGGAGTTTGGGTGCAGGGCATGTGGTAGCCCATCTGACTGATGAGGAAGCCGAGACCAGCGGCGTGGCCTGAGGCCCTCAGCCGGTCACCGCAGGGTCTGGATTCTGTCTCCCCATCCACTCCCCCTGTGCCGGCCCAAGGCTGCCATTGCCACACTCGTGCCCTCTCTTTGGTTCGCAGGTGGGCATTCTCTCTGGCCTCCACTTAACATTCTGGGGTCCCGGACCCTGCCTCTCTCCCCCTCAGATCAAGGCTGAAGACCCCAGTGGCGACTCAGCCCCAGCAGCACCCCCGCCCCCCCAGCCGGCTCAGCCACATCTGCCCCAGGCCCAGCTCATGCTGACGGGCAGCCAGCTCGCCGGGGTAAGTACTTGGGGAAGACAGGGACACCGGCACAGTCTGGCCGCTTCCATCCAACACAGGACCGGTGGCCCGAGTGTCCATCTAGGGCCACAGCCACTCTCTCCTGCCTGCCTCTGACCCTCCTCTGCCTCCTGGAAGACTTGCTCCCAATCTATTTGGCTCAGGCACTAACCCCTTTCTGCCTTCTCCGCTCCTCTCCACGCCCCCCACACCCCCGCTGCCCCTGCCCGCCCCGCAGCTCACAGCGCTGATGCCAGCTCAGCAGCAGCTCCTCCTGCAGCAAGCGCAGGCCCAGCTCCTGGCCGCCGCCGCCGCCGCCGCCACCGCCGCCTCCTCCTCCTCCTCCACCTCCTCTTCCTCTTCCTCTGCCTCCTCCTCCACCTCGCAGCCCCCAGCCTCCTCTGGGGGAGGTGACCTGCCACCGCCACAGCCTGCCAGCCAGCCCCCTGGGACCCCACAGCTCACCCTGTCCCAGCCCATCCAGCTCACAGCACAGGTAAGGGCAGCCTGGAGCACAGGCGTCCTGCGGAAGGCCCACAGGAGCAAGCATGGGCTGACTGGTCTGTGCTGACTGTTCCCACCACCTGCCGTGTGCCAAGCGGTTCCCAGTGACCCTAGGAAGCCTTAGGAGATGCTGCCCCCATCTCACAGAGGGCCGAAGCGAGGCTCAGAGGGAGGACATCCTCCATAGGACGGAGTGCCCAGCTAAGCGCTTTCTATGCATCTGGCTGAGGGTTCACAGCCACCTGGGAGGTTGACACATTATCCTCAGTTTACAGCTGAGGAAACCAGGAGTTACCCCGTGAATGGTATTTGCGTGGGTGCAAACCGAAAGGCGGACAGTCAGAGTTAGTGCCCCACATCGTGTCCTCTGGCTCAGCCAGCGAGTCGCTCTTCTAGAAATGGGGCCTGCGAGCTCTGAGTTGGAAACACTGCATCCTCTCTCCCCATTCTGGAGACTTCTGGTCTACATCAAATCCTGAACTAGTGGCTGTATGAGTTTCCTAGGGCCACCGTGACAAAATCTCACAAAGTAGATGGCTTAAAACAACAGACGTTTATCGTCTCAGACCAGAAGTCCAAAATTGATGCACCAGCAGGGTTGTGCTCTCTCCGAAGGCTCTAGGGGAGAATCCCTCTTTGCCTCTTCTAGCTTCTAGGGGTGCCAGAAATCCTCGATGTCTTGTGGATGAATGGCTCCAATCTCTGCCCCCATCATCACATGACCATCCTCTCTCTCTGCGTGTCTCTCCCCATGTCCAAATTTCCCCTTCTTACAGGGACACCAGTCTTTGCATTAGGGCCCACCCTGATGACCTCATTTTAACTCAATTACATCTGCAAAAACCCTATTTCTAAATAAGGTCATATTTACAGGCACCAGGGGTTATGACTTCCAACATACCTTTTGGCAGGACATAGTTCAATCTATGACAGTGGCCAACGGATTGCCCGTAAGGGTAGTCAGTGGGAGCAGAGTGGGAGCTGGGCAGGCTTTCCCTTCCGATGGGCCTGCTCTCTCCAGCCCACCCTGTCCACACCTGCTCACATCACCCATTTGTGCCGTCTGCCTGGTTTCTATAAACATTTGAGTCGGTGGCCCGTGTTCCAAAGCGGTGAAGGTCCTGAGAAGTCCTACAGCAAGGAGCTCTGTTCAGTTTCCCTTAGCTGCGCATTTCCCACAAGGACTGGCCGGCAGATCGCTTTCTCTCTCTTCCCCGCTTCCACAGAACGAACCCCTGGGCAGATGCTGTGACGCCAGGGAGCTGTCCAGCGCCTGCGGGACTGTTCTTCCCTTGACAGAGTTCTACTTCCCACGGGACTGTTCTTCCCTTGACAGAGTTCTGCTCCCGATGGGCCTCTCCATTACTGACCAGTGCTCCCATTTGAGACTGTCCTTCACACTGAGCTAGTATCTGCCTCCTTAGAGCTTCCTGCGTCTGGGCCTGGTTCTGCAGAAACCCACAGAGCCATCTGTGCCTGTGGCTCTGTGATGACTTCTCGCAATGTTGGGCTCACCATGGCAACCACAGCTAGAGTCTGTTGGGTGCTGTCTTGGTACCAGACACTGTGACTGCCTTAAACCCACAAATCATAGCCAAGGTTCTGAAGGACTTGCCACCCCTAGGTCATATTGTGAACACAAGTGGCAGAGCCAACCTGGGAGTCCAGGGCTCCAACCACACAACTGGGACTGCTGCTTTTAGCAGAGGGACGTGTGTCCTGCCCTCCCACCCCGGCTACTAGAGACCCCAGCAGCGGGTGTTCCTCATAGCACACACAGCTCTTCATGGAGCAATGCTAAGACTCGGGGCTTCTTACTAGGTCCTGAATCTCAGTGTTCCTGCTCTTGTCCTTTCTACCCGGAAGTCAGCGCCCTCCCTTTCCCCAGACAGCTCTTCTTCATCCTTCTAGCCCCAGTTTGGGAGCCCACACCTGCGTGGAGTCTTCGATGACATCCCTCCCTCCAGCTGGTTTGATTTCCTGCCTCCTCTCTCCTCTGGGGGCCCGCAGCCCGTGTCTCACCTTCTGCCACGGCCCTGATCACCCAGGGCTGTGTCCAAACGTGCCTGAGGATATATCTGCTGAGGAAGGACGGGGCAGCCTAGCCATCATCTCCTGTGAGCAGCAGATACTCCTTGTGTTCATACACCCCTAGAACCACAACCCCCAGGCTCCCCATGGACCCTGGTGGCAGCAGGCTCACCCTCTGCCACCTGCCATCCCACCAGGCCTGATTCTCAAAGACTCCTGAACTGCTCACTGCCAAGCCTTTTCCTCTCGCCCCTCCCACCCCAGCTTCCCTCAGCTCTCATTTTCCCCTGTCTGTCCTCTGCAAGTGTGAAGCTGGGCCAAGTTTGTTTTCCGGGAGTTCTGTCCCCTGTGACCTCTTTCCCCGACAGACAAACATATATCCCAAGCCACCCATGTGCTGGGCACCATGCTATGTGCAGGCTGTGTCGGGGACCACGTGCCTCTTGGCCTGGCTGCCCACCGCAGCCACAGCCAGCCTGGCCCCTGGGCTTGACCCCCCTCCCCAGCCTGTGTCTCGTGCCCACCAATCCCGCTCTCCGTTCCTGCTCAGCTCTGTCCTGCTGTCACTTCACAGACATCTCCCAGCCTCCTGTGTGTCGGGCCCTGGAGTGACTCAGACCCATCCTTGCCCCTGAGAGCTCCCAGTCTTATAGGGAAAAAGACACCAACGAACCACTAGGAAACATTTTACTTGCAAAATACTAAGAAAATCAAAAGCGCCTATAACCTTATCACTTTAAAATTATAGACCGTAAAGGGAAAGTCCCCCTTTTGTCCCTGTCATGCCAGCTTCCAAAGTTATATCAGTGAAACAGGAGCCCTCCCTGCATTGTCCTAGTTACTGCAGATAAAGGGAAGATTATCATACAGTTTTATAATTTGTACGTCCAGCACTCAGCGCAATGCTTCCCACCAAGGGGACTGCACGGGTGTTTACTGAATCAATGAGGGATGTGTTGCGGTACCTTTTCAATCAAGAGTAGGGAAGACATCTCTCCAGGAGGGTCATTCAGAAAGTCCGGGGTAGGGGTGGGCATTGATTTAAATTCTATACATCATTTTGTATTTGAGGAGTGAAAAGAGTCCCTATTTTCATAATATGACCACAGCAAATAGGGCTTGACAAAAATCTTTTGGCTGGTAGGACCTAGTACATAAAGGTTTCTCAGAGAAACCTACTGAATGTAGTGGGAAAAGAAAGGGTTGAGGGTTTTAAACAGGCAGGCGGCATGACCCAAGTGACCCCTGACAAAGCTCCCTCCAGCTGCTGTGGGGACAACGGATTGTCCCTGTCCGAGGGCGTCAGGGAAGGCTTCTGGGAGGAGGCGGTATCTGAATCGAGGTGGGATAAATACGAGTTTCCCAGGTGGACAAGCTGGAGACAGGGTTTCAGACAGTGGGAATGGGGAATTGGAGATGAGAGAGCAGGGTGGGCTCAGGGAGTTGCGGGGTGGGAGCCAGCGTTGGAAGGCGGTGAAGGATGAGCTGGGAGAGAGCGTCAGCCGGGCCACAGCCCCTCTCCAGGAGGCTGAAAAGAAAAGAGAATCTTTGGCTCAGGTTGCTGAAAAGGCCTAGGACAGAACGTCAGACCCGACCCCAGGGATCTGTCTCCCTTCTTGTTCTGGAGTTGGCAAAAACAGTGCCAGAACTTCTAGATGTGCAGCCACCCTGCCTAGGGAGATAAAACACACCCACTGGCTAGGTTTGAGTTGGACCCCTAAGAAGGTGGAGTTAGCCCCACCTGGACCACATGACCTGAGAGTGGGCGAGGGCAAGTCCCCAAAAGGAAGAGATGGGTCCTATTGCTTGAAGAAGGGGCAGTGGGTGCCAGGCCAGCAAACCACCCACCTGGAGGTGTGTTGTCAGTAAACCCACAGGCCCGGGAGTCCAGGAGCCAGGCTGAGGCGTGCTGGTCATCCCACAGTGCCTGGGTTGGTATCTGCTGTAACTTGTCTCTCCTGGAATTTCAGCACAAGGTAGCATGGGTGTAACATGCAGTGCACATGTAAGTGGCCTTTCTTCCTGTTGAATAGATAGATCTCTGTTCTGTGGTGTTCTGTCCCAATCTCAAGGACTTCCTGGGCTCCATGTGGCAGAGCTAACCTCTGGGGGACAAGGGTGCATAGAAGAGCCCACACTAGAGACAAGCCACCTCTGTCTACACTGCCCACCCCGCCCCCCACTTTTAGAGCTTCCCCTAATGGAGTGACTGGAAAACCCATATCATTTTTTCATTCAGCTAGCATTTACTGAGCACCGCGCGTATGCCAGGCACCCACTCACAGGCCCGAGGGAACAGCTGCGAACAAGGCAGTGGTGGCTGCCCTTGAGGACCGTATGTTCTCGTGGGGAAACAGACAGTAAACAAATAATCAAACCAGGAAAACAGGACAGTTTTAGAATAAATGTAATGAAGAAAATGAAACTGGGTGGTGCTGTCGAGGGAGGAAGCCGCCTTTAACAGA